TCTTGATTTTAGTGGTATATCTGTATTCTTTCTTTAATATTTCAATTTCTGTTAATAGTGGATTGTAAAAAATGCACTATAATAGAGATGAGATTATGTTTTTCTGATCGATACTATTTAGTACTTTAAATTGGGGAATCAATTTATGTATAGCTATAACTTTATTTCCTGTCTCTGAGTATAGTTTATATAATATTAATTGCCTTTTATAGTTTTTTTATTTGTCTTAGTGCTTGTACTAGCCTTATTATATTGATTGAGTCATAAGCTTTTGTCATATTTTGACTTAATAATCACAACCTTTTTTTTCTTTGTATATACTTTATATATTGTCATGGGTTATGTGGATAATGTGATTTATGCATAACAGTCTAGAATCCAAAAACCTGAAAGTCTATTGCTAAAGGCCAAAGAAGTCAAACAAAGTTCAGAATTTTTACTGTAGTCCCATGACTAAGATCATGATATAACCAAAGCTTATGTGAAATAATCAATTGCTAACTATTACCATACTCCTTGCAAGCTAGAAGAATGCGTGAACAATCCATTCACGTCAAATGGTAAAAAACTATAAGCTGAAGTAATAGAAAATTAGCTGATCATGAAGCAATTTATGCATGATATAATACTAGAATAGCCATAGTAATTATGTAATAGCTCTATATGTAAAAATGTATAAATGTAACTTCTTTCAATGATTTAATAAAAATGACGAATCTCAGGACTAATCTTAAGACAAATCTTTTGGATAGATTGTTATAACAGTGAAGTTATAAGTAGTTTTAGGGAAGACTATCTTGAAACTTACCCAAATCTTTTTAAACCTCTGCCTTGATTTTGGTATTGTGTTTTATGTGTATAATAGAAGAACAGACTCTTCTATCTGCAGGTTACATGAACTTTTGGTTATTAGCGACAGACTCACTGATTAGCCTGCTATACTATTATAAAAGATTGAGTATTGTAAAATAAAAAACTATAAATAAGGCTTGGATACCAATAAAAGAACTATGTGTATTTGACAAAGTATGAAAAGTTTAGCAAAGTTTAGAGTTAGCATAGCCAAATTATAAAGTATATAGTCTATTGTTAGTTAGAAAAGTATAAACAGCTTATCAATATATGCCAAGAAGACAGAGCTGAATATGTAAGAAACACAGCCCTCATTAAGAATAGATATAAGAGTTAGTGATATACCAAAGAATCAGAATGTAATAAAGAGACATTTACCTTTGGCTAAGTCAATTACTATGCCCTGTCTTCCTTAAGTATTCTTTATAGGATGCATTCTTTTCTTTGTATTGTTTATAAGTATTCATGAGAAGTCTGGGTTATACAATATGTTATGGATTAGTGAAGGACTAGTTGAATTAGCCCACAATAACATAAATTTATTATATATATAATGGTTTGTATACTGCTATCTAGAAGTACTACTCAGTTTAGTTTATTGAGAATATTGTATTCTATACAATATTATGCCAGGTGGTCACTCAAGATTTTTATAAAAATTTTTCTTTCTATAATAAGTAGCATAATCGGTCTAGTTATTTCAATTCTGTTCTACTACTATCTAGATTTAGAAATAGAATATATGTATTCAATGCTTTTTTTTTTTTAACATTTCTTCTTGGAAAAGGATTCTATTGTATAGTTCTGTAAGCCATGAGAGTACTTTTGATTCTAGATTTTTATAGATTGTATACAAAATATTATCTGATTCTAGTACCAATTTAAAGTTTTTGTCAGTAATTGTCTTTTTTAACTTCTATGTAGTTATTGGTTCCAATAGATTACTAAACTAGCTATCCTGGTCTTGTTACTTGGTACATACTTTTCTGCTCATCTAATTGAGCTTTCTACTAGTATTATTTCTTTATAATGTAGTCAGGTTTCAAGTATTCTACTATTTTCCTTTTAATTTTTTCTAGTTTCATAATTATATTTATTTGATATTCTCTTTCTATTATAAGTTTGTCTATTACAATAAATCTTTTTGGCTTTTCTATAATGCTATTTATTATTGACCACTTGTTGCTTAGCAGCCATTACTACATTTTTTTTATATGTTGTTGTATTTTTTTGTTTTTTCTGTGGTTGGTTATTAGCTTGATTGAAATTTTGTATTGAATAATATATTCTCTACATATCTTTTTTCAATGTGTTTATCACTTCTATAGGTTAATATTTTTATATGTTGCCAGTTTCTTTGTAAGTTCTAAAAAGTCTTTCTCTATACTAGTAATTTGTTTTTGTATTAAAAATTCTGTATATTCATTAGGGGTGTCAAAGTTTCTTTGTAGAAGTTCAGAGAGTATCTTGATATTGATAATCTTTCTATATAATATTGAGAGTTTTCCCATGCTTTTGTTTTTTTTCTGAGACTTTACCCTAAATATATATTTGTTAGTTACTACCAAGAGAAAATGGTTTAATTTTTTTCAGCTACTATCTATATCTTCTGCTTGTTCAGATTTGTTTTACTTTTATGTATTATTTTCAATATATTTTTAAAATTTTTTTATTGTTTGGTGTTTTTTCTATATCAGTTATATTGTGGATTGCTCTATGGATTTTTTGATACCTATGGTAATCAAATTGCCATATTTTAATTCTAGTAATTATGATTTTGTGATCGTTTTTATATAGGGTATCTGGGTAGTTTGTTATATTTAATCTCTTATCTGTCAAGTTTTTTGTAATAAGTATTATATTTGATTGATCCTACTAGATACCACTCTACTATTGTTCCATGTGAACTTCAACTGTATTGGGTTATGTATTCTAAATATATCTTCAAAGTTTTTAGTTATCAGCCAATCTAATAAATATGACTCTGGCTAGTAACTAACTAGTTTCTTTTGTTAACTTAATTATCTATAGAAGAATTGGTTGTGTTAAAATCTCCTCCTATTGCTATATGTATATTCATATTTTTTGCCTATGTTATCTATCTTTGAATAGTACATTCAATTTTATTCTATTCCTACTGTTGCCATTTACTGATGGAAGGTATACTTATATGATTCTTAGTTTGTGTTTTCATGAAAATGTCATATCTATTGTAATAGCCCTTTTTTCAACTTCTAGTTTTTGAATATTCTAGTTGCAAAACTCTTATATATGACTATATATAGTTCATATTCTATTTTTTAATTTCTGTTTATGATATTACCAGTTGATATTTTTGATATTTCAATGTTTGATATGTGTTTCATTCCTATTGATTTCTACTATAATGATTATCTCTCATTTTTTTTCTGCACAATACTTTATTATAAATTTCTATTTATTGTTTTCTACTATTTTCCTTATATTGTATATCATAAAAGTTCAAGTAAGGTAACTAATTGTATTCTTCTTACTAATTTGTTTATTGTTATGCCTTGTGATATTATTTTTACTGGAAATTGGATTTGAGTTTGTAAGTTGTGTTCAGTATTGTATTCTTTTGTTTGTTACTTTTTTTCTATTGGGGTTCTATTGTAATTTGATATATTATATTATTGAGAAGGGTAGTATCTATTTGATACAGTCTGTTGAGAGAGTTTTAAGAGATTAATCATCTCTTTTACTGTTGAACTTATTCTTTTTAATTGTTGTTGATATGCTTCTTGTAATTTTTTTATATTCTGGATGCTATTGTTAAATTCTGGTATTTGCTTCCCATTGTTGTTATTTATATCCTCTTTCAATTCTTCCATTAGTTCTTTGATGCTTTTAAGATATCTGTTGATACATTCTTGTTCTAAGGTATCTACTCTTTCAGTGAGGTCTTGCAAGGTTTTTTTTATCTTTTTTATATCTTCTTTTCTGAGAACAGGAGGTTTCAGATATCATTATTGCATTGAGTGTTCTTTGATTTCTGGTTATATTTTAGAATATTTGCATAGCTTCTTGGGTTATTATTAACTCTAAAGCTTCTGTGAATGCCTGGATTGGGTGTTAATCTTCCTTTGTGTTAAGGGTATATTCTTGAATTGTTTAATCTGTTCATATATTGTCTCAGAGGGTGGTCTCTAGTTTGTCTAGGTATGTATACATATTATATTCTGGTGAGCTACAGAAGTGGCACAGTTGAATTACACATTGAACCCATTGTATTTGTGTTTCTTTTATCATAAGAGCTAAGAATTTGGCTAACTAAAGTTTTTCATTTAACTGAAAGGTGAAGATGGCAAATCTTTTGGTTTGTTTGTTGTTATCCCAGGGAATGTAAACTAATTTTTTATTAGTCTTGTGATGATAACTGCCAGATCAGATATTGTTGTATCTGTTGATAGTTGTGTGAGTGTGGCACTATATCATTTTATCTCTTCTTTGATTTCATGAGTTCTGTAGAATGGGAAGATTCTGCGTGAGTAGAAACTTTTTATGTATTGTTAGCAAATTGATAAAAAGTGTTTTTTATAATAAACTTGTCCTAAATTTTTTTTAAAAAAAAACAATGACAGAAAAAAGTAAATCAATAAAAAGATCTGATAAATTAGTATTATAAAATTTTTGTTAATTGAACATTCTATGATAATCACTAATCAAAATATTTACTGTAGTTGCATTTTTATATTTATATTTTACAATTTTATCTTGAATCTCGTAATTATACGAGATTACAAGTGAATTAAAAAAAAAAATTTTTTTTATAAACATTTGAATACTATTAAAATTATTAAAATAACAAAAAGATCTTAAAGCCGAAACAAGATTGGACTAAAAAAAATAATAATAATAATAGAGAAAAACAAAAGAAAAATGAAATTACACCTTTTTCGTATGATTTATTTTATAATTACAGTAATCCATAGTCAATTTATCGGATTATGTATAAAAATTAAACATTTTATCGAAGGTACAAATGATTATTGAGTTAATAATGTACAGTACTGTATTTCAATTACTGCAGATTTAAATAAATAAGAGACTTTTTGTAATAATTAAATATCGGACATCATGTTAGCTTCTTTTAATAACGCTTTGAAATTTTCCATATATTCTTCTCCTTATTGTTTATCTTTGGTGTTCTCCACATCTTTTGATATCTTTTGCGACAGTAATTTCTTATTTTCTTTGATATATTTCAAGCAATGCTTTCTTAAATGTTCCGCATTACAAAATTTCGCCCAATCTACAATTTCTATCACATTTGTTATATCACATTTGTCTTTTATAGCTTCCTCCAAGATATCTTTGAGAGGATCAATCAGATATTTATTTGAAGCCTTGAGTAGGTCAATTAAGAATGCAACATAGTTTTCACTCTTGGGTGACACGGCTTTAGATGCTTCTTCGAAGGATTGACCATAAAGCCAAAGAAAAAGAACTCTGAAAGTATTGGGCTTAAAGTCATCGTTGACGTTCACGGTTACCTTCTTATTTTCAATGCCTTCGATCATTTTATTGTGAAAAAGTTGTTTAAAGTACTGTGTTGCAGCTGTTATTTATTTCAAGTTGTGATTTATATATTAATCCCGCGAATAAAGAAATCCACATGATACTGTAACTAGAGGGTAAATTAAAACAATACGTACCTGAAAGTACATATCTATTTGCATAAATCTTTTCTTTATTGGGAAAACAAAATTCAACATCGTGATGCGGAGTTTTTTCTTGTCCCTTCAAATGATCGAGCAGCTGACTTACTAAATGTCTTTTGATTATACTCTCGTACTTCTCTTTCTGTCTTCACTCTTATTAATTCTTCTGCCCCTGCTAATTTCAATAAGGCTTTGTATTTTTCTAAAAAGGGAGATACTTTATGCAGATTTTGTCCGATATCTTCAGAAATTCCATATACTAAACTAGATCCCAATACCCAGCTTTCTGGTTCTAATGGGTCATCACCATTTAAAAATAGCTTTTTCCCACGTATTCTTGATTTGATTTCTTTGCTTCGATCGTTTATTTGCGAGTCTATGTATTCGTAAATTTCTGTCATCATATCCTGAAATCGTTTTCTCTCTCCATAATATTTCCGGTCAGATCTTTCAGTTTGAGCGATTATTGATGTTGTCGCGACTGTTTCCCAATGATTAATGACATCCCATAGTTCAGGTTTACAAGTTTCTAAAAATTTTATTGGTGGATCATCGAACCATTTGTCGATAAGTGGAACTTGCGTCCACACCAGATCTTTATATTTGTAAAAGCAGGCAGAGGTCAGAGAGACTATTTCATCCATGTGTATACCATAATATTCTTGAAGGTTTCTATCGGTGGGAACGAATTTTATGGACAAGAGATCTTTCAATTGTTGCGGATTAAACCTCAATTTATCGTAACGTAAAAACAATTCCGTCACCAATCTTCGGGCTAATGATTTGATATCTTCTTTTGGAGTGATGCGGATCTTACTTTCAATCTCGCGAGCACATTCGATAAATGAATTAGAGTTGATACAACGTTTGAGTCCCACTCTTTCCAGAATACACAAGATGTTTTCATTCTCTTGAAGTCCTATTGGTAAAAATTTATCCGTATTTCTAAAAATTTCGCGAAATAACTCCACATTAATGTCATATAATGCGTTTTCTTCGACAAGCGCGGTGCGATCTTTGTTTGGAATTACTTCATTATTTTTAAGATAATTTTCTATTTTGTCATTTTCCAGTATAAGAACGCTCTTCAAGAACTCCAGATATTCGTCGTCGTCAGGCGTTACATTCGTGCATTCATAATAATTGGTGATATATTCTAGTTCGTTCATGCTCTTAGGATTAAGATATGAAAGCGTGTCATAATATTTACCAGATTCAACTTTAAAAATCTTTTCATGCGATGACGAGCATATTTTAAGTTTCGAGTTAAGGAGACATCCTCTATTGGCCGCGATCAAACTGCCTTGAGGGTATGTAGGCCAGATCGGTAAACTTTGAATTATTTTTAGAGAATCCGCATCCAATTCGTTATTCTTTTCGTTACATCCTTTTTAGTTTAATATTAAGAATTTTGATAAGTAAGAAAAAATTAAAATTACGAAATATGCTATTTAAAGTCGACCGCATTGAAGAAAAGTCTTCTAATAATTGTAAGACATACTTATTCGTAATAAAAAATCTTTAATGAAAGATTGAAATTCTGAAATATCATTTGGATTCAACTTTTCAAAAAATTGTTCCATTGATTTCTGAGAGCACGATCTCGCCCGTTCAATCGATTTCAATATGTTCACCTCAGTGGGCATTCCTTGAGCGTCGGATGAGCAGTATCGGATAACCTTAAATCAGTGAATCTGACGCCTAATTTACTTAGCGCATGGATCAAAGGATATTCAAGATTGCCTCCTTGAAATAATAATGGACTAGATTTATCAAACCGGATGAGCTTTTGATGTGGATAAATCTTCGGAAGAAGTGGAAATCTCGCTAATTTACGAAATTCAAACACGGAATCTTTTCTAAATTTTGCTAGAATAAGGCCAAGCCATTTTTTATTTGGGTATGATTCGCCCGACGGATCCCAGTCCATCTGCTCTACTATAGGCAACTCAATCTCGAGTAGGTTAAGAATACTATTCGCGTCAAGTTCAAAGATTTTCAATAATTTTGAAATTTCCTTATTCTTAATTTCGAATGGCAGCTCAGTCACGAAGCGAGATAATCTTGTCTTATTAAATAATTTTCGATAGTCTTCTTCGGCTATATAATATTCCATCTCACAAAAGGTTCCAACTGCGTCACCATAAAGAGGAACCAATGGCAATCCAATTAACTTTTCGTAAGTTTTTATATCCTGGGGTTCAGTTCCTCCTAAAATGAATCTTAATAAATAATCGATAGCTTTCTTCACTACTTTTTGATTCTCCGATGTTTTGTACGAATCCCACATATCTTTCTTATTATGGAATGTATTACAAACCAAATCCGGCGTAATAAAGTTGGGGGATACGGTGTTCGGAAGCTCTTCAAGATGTTTATACTGTTCTTCTGATATTTTGACTATCTGGACCTTTTGTTGCATTAAAAGATCAGGTATAATATATTCTTTTTTCGATTCCCCAAAGACTGCGTTGGTGAATGAAACGAATTCTCCGCCATTTGTCTCAGTCCAAAATACGCGATAATTATTCCGAGTCAATTCTTGAAATACAGTTAACCCAAATGTTCTGTAAATTTCCGAGGTGGACTTAATCGGCCAATCCCTTGTCGTTACATATGGTAGGAACATTTTATTTTGATTATGTGAACTTGCAAAACGTTGCGAGTCTCGAATTGCAATTTCATTCAGCAACTTGGCATGCAATGATGGTAAAACCTCCAATAATATGTATCTATTCCATTTTGCTTCAATCTCGGCACTTTCTGAGTACAAAATTTTGTTTCTATTACTTGATAAAAAAAAATCTCCGTTCAACATTACACTTAGACCATTGTTTATTGAGAGGGATAGATATGAATACATTGCACCCTTCAAATTTATTGAATAGTTCATCTAAAAAAAAAAAAAAAAAAAAGATGATGATTATGAGAGATTTTTTTACCAATCATTTGCAAAATATTCAACTACGTTATACCTTCTTGTCATTTTCTTCCATATTTGCTATTAGTGCGGCAACAGCTCCTCTAGGCTTTAGTGAATAAAATATTCATAATTAATTTAAAGCGAAAATAAGCCCTAATTTTTAAAATTTTACGTACAAATACTTTTTTCTCATCCGAAAGGTTTTTTAAATCTTCTCTGACCTCTTCGTTTCCCCCAGAACATAAAAGCCAGTGTTCAAGGATCTTATTCATTTGTCCTCTTACATGTTTCATAACAACATGATTGTACATTTGCATTTCAATGTTAAGCTGAAATATTTTTGTCTCTTTGGTAATCGAACGGCGCATATTTCTTATATTCTCGTCCATATTGTTAATCCTAGTTTTCCAGATTAACTTCGACTGATTGTCATCTAAACAATGTAAACTGCACTCTTCAATGTTTCTCAAAAACATCTCTCTGTTTCCCTGGATATTTTTAAAAAGTTCCAAAAGATAACCAGGATCGAATCTTTTACCAGATATTTCGCTTGAATTGTTCGCCTCGTAGGTTCTCAGCGGAATTCTAAACAAAGTTCCATTATATCTATTCATCAATTCACATCCTTCCACGGATAGATATGGTTCGGCTTGACTCTTCCATCTCTCCCCGAATTTGGCTTTAACAAAGTTGTACCGGCTTCCAAGGGGATTCCTTGGTGGGTATCCTTGCTCGGGAAGATATTTGGAGTGTGGATCAAAAAATATGATATACTCACCGCTTACAAAGCTCGGAAAGTCGGTAAGGTTATACACAGAATTAAATCCGATTCCAAAACGACCAATTTTCGTTTTATCGGACAATTTGTCACTTTCTCCAAGTATAGGTAGCGATTTGAAATCATTTTCGCTAAACTCCGCATCATTATAAATCCACAAGGCAGGACCTTGCCAGTAATGCATTCCTTCGGTTAGAAGGCTTGATCGATCCTTCTTCTTGAAATCTCTTTTGTCAATATATACTTTGAATGTGCGAGCACCAGCATCATCCGCATTCTAAAATAAAGAAGATTAAGTGTAACCATTAAAATTTGTAAAAAAAAAAAAAAAATAAATAAAAGTTATTTATGCTCAATGAATACCTGCAAAAATTCTTTAAATATGGTGACAGGTAAATAATCCTAAAAAGAAATGAGAATTTGTTTAGCTCTGATTCACATCAATAGCAAAATACGTACAGTGCTTATTTACCGCATGCGTATTACGACACTTACATTGATTATATTTCTAATTCGAGTAATCAAAGTTTCATTTTGCCCATAAAAATCTGGCATAATAAAGCTTTCATTAGCTCTATTTACTGGTGGATATAGAAAAAAAAAAAAAATCTAGTTAAACAAACAATATAATCTTCGTTTACACCGATGATGACAATTACTTTCTTTTACGGATAACATTCTCATTCCAATATTTTTTGCGATGCTCAGCGATATGGAAGGGTGCGCAATATAATCTGTCTTTTCCTCATCGGTTAACCTTGAACCCATATCATCATACTGAACTTTGCTTAAACTTTTGAGGATCTCTTGTGTAGTCGGTATAAGCAATTCTTGTAGTATTTCTGCAGAGCTTTTATCTTCGGCGTGCTTCCTTGAAATCTGATCAATTAATCCTACCACTTTATGTATTTCATCGGCGGGCAGTTTAATGTCGAGATAGTCCTTACCATACCCCTTAATTATATTGATGTAATCTTTAATTCCAATTTTCAAACGGACGCCCATTCTTTCAAAAAGTTCTTTGTAATTGTATTTATACTCGTCGGGAAGTCCCACTAACAAAGTGTCTTTGTTTCCAAAATCTTTGGGAAGGTCGAAAACTACATTTTCAGATGAATAAAATTGTCTATTAACCAGTATCCATTTTGTGTCTCCGAGTTTCTCCTTTAGTGTGTCGATCTCAGTCCCATTGTCGGTCACAATCGTATTCATATGACTATAAATCGCTTTACAAATCTCGTATATTTGGGGGACTTTCATCGATGGCTGAGAGCACTTCTGAAGCTGACTAAGGATTAATTCGATGTCCGGACTTTCATTCCAACCTAGATATTGAAGAAACTCTTTGTTTCTTATTCTATAATTTAGTATGGGAACGACATGACCAATTAAATATCTTTTTTCCAAATCTCCACAACGCGAAGATTTCGAGAAATGCTTTCTCCCTAAATGGTCGACAGTCGGAATCCATTCGAGAGCCAAAATTTCTGAAAAAAGTTGTTCGTTTCCGTGTGAAGTCTTGTCAAATATGGCCTTCCAATAGTTATCTACATATTTAAGAAGTTTCATTGTCTTCGTGTGTACAATGTCAAATAACATGGGTTTATTTTTGTAATTCTGAAATACTCTCAAACGATCAATAATGTCATCCGGCAAAAGAACCGTTTTCAGACCTAATTCCTTAAGCAAAGATAGCTTTGGTGAGAAGTTACCACACGGAAAAACCTTTTCGTCCTCAAAAAATAGATCGATTATTTCTCGGTCTTCGGGATTATATAGTTCCATGGGCCCACGACGTTCGATATCCACATCAGAGTTGAGGCGACCTTTAAACATCCCATGGGTTCCAGTAGTAACAAAAGGAAGTTTACCCAGTATACCTTTCAAAGTAGAATCGATCCGGAGAAGAACTTCCAGACGATCAAAGAGTTTTTCCACCATCTTATTAAACACCAGTACAGGCTGAGAGATTAAATATGGTATCACGTACTCCCTCCAGTAAATTTTTTGCGTCAATCTTGTAACCTTAATTATGTTTTCTAAAATATATCGAGTATTCGTCAAATTTACATCAAGAAAGCCGATAGAATTAGGAGTTATTATATAATCATATTCTCTCTCTTCTTCTTTCGGAAGTAAAAACCATTCTTTGTTCTCGTGGAGAGAAGTTAGTCCTTTATGACCGATTTCCGAAAAAATCGGAAGACTTTTTATTACGTCAATTTCAGCGTCTGAAAGTCCAGAATCATTGTCGCTATATTTCCCGATTTTAAGCTGTTCTCTTAAGTATTTAATCAGTTCAAGAGAATCCTTAGTTTGTAAACAAACCTCCAGATTTCTTGGATAGGACTCCGATTCACGCAAACCGTTGGCAATTCGGTAAGATTAACAACATAGGGCGATAATCTGGAGAAAATAAAAAATAAATTTGTTGTATTTACACGCAAAATTGTCAACGCATAAATTAAAAGGATTTGGCTTACTTTGGCAAGATATTTCTGAAGCGTTTCTCGAAATCTTTATCGACAAACACAACGCCAAACTTTTCTACGAGCGGTTGTAATTTGTTGTCAATTTCATCGTCAATGCCATTCCAGAAACATTTTTCATTGGTTCTTATTTTTCGTAAAGTTCCTTGATTTGTTAAAATAAGATGTAATGATTCGAAATCCTTTAGTTCATATTTCCTTTTCAGAAAGTTTTCCCAAATCATATAAATCCATTCACGCTGATCTTCCAACTCGATCTCATCAGACACCTCAGTATATCCCTTCAGATTCTTCTTGATCAAATTGGCCACGATCGATTGATCTAATATCTTAATATTGATATTCCATTTATTTTTCGCACCCTCATATAAAAGGTTCCGCAGGTTTGGTGAGATTAAACTGTCGATAAACTTTTTCAAGTCTTTATTAAAAATTTTATGTTCACAATCCATATCAATTGTTGGCTGATCAAAACATATGTATGCAATATCTTCTTCAACTTTTGAGATGGTTCCCAACGTTCCGTCAGCCAATGGTATCATCTGAAGCCCTTCCAATCCTGAAGTATCCTTATCCTGAAGAACATAACAGAACAAATTTGAAATTTCAACGCGAGATAAATCCTGCAATCTATTCTGATTTTGTCGAAGGTACGTTTTAATTATTTTCAAAGAGTAGACTTGAAGAACGCTACTGTGCCTCGATTTTTCCAATACACTTTTCACAGTGGGATCCGTGCCAACAATTACTGGAAACCCAATTTTCCCGAGTATCTCAGAAATTGCAGGTAACTTTTGGTCTGGTGGGAAATATCCGCTGACAATTGATAAGAATGGAAATTCGGTGTTCTTTTTCACATAAACATTGCTGTCTGCTTGAACTAAACCTTGCATATTTCCGGGAAGATAAGACGCCGATGGACCAAGGAAGACTTCATCATCGATATTAAGATTTTCAACAACATTTTCCAATATCTCCTTGCAAAATTCTACTATACTGCTTGAAACTTGATTGAAAAATACTGGCCAGAAGTCGTAGAATTGTTTTGGTTGGACACTTGGGTATTCGTCAGGAAGTGTAACTAAAAACCTTGCCCATGCCTTTGGAAGAACGTCATCAAAAAGATACTTGTTCCATGACGCTTTAAGACTTGCTGAAGCGTCAACGGCCTGAATAAAAAATTAAAATAAAAAATTTTAATATATGACCAGGTAATTAAAAATAAATTGATACTCGATACTGTAGTGATAAAAAAAAAAAAAAATCAAGTCATACATACTAAATATTCGTTATCCGCTGGAGTCCAAATTGTGCGCCTATTTGTACTAACCTTTAATAAATAAAACACCACATTTCGAATTAAATTAGTTATTTAAGATTTTTTATTAAAGTTATAAGGATATCTATGTCAGAAAATCTCGAACCGCTAAATATCCGTTTATCGAGGTGTGGAAAGGCGTGAAAATCGGAAGAGGTAGAAAACAGAAAAGCCTTCCGTTGGTCGTATGACTGTCAAGCCGCATGGCAAGACCAACATTCGGAACAAACTTGTATGCTTTAATATCCTTTTTAAAATTTTCCTGAAAATAATTATTCACCACATTTAAATCACTTAGCCAATTAAAGATCACCCACGAAATGCTTTCTCGTTCCGTTTTACCCTCCTGCCGGCAAAAATTCGCAATAAATATGGAATTTAATTCCTTGATTCTGTTAGAATCATTTGAACCCAACGATTTCATCATGGGCATTATATTTTTCGCGATCAATTGACGTTTTGACCTAACTTCATCTGCATTTTCAAGGGAAATCTCGTAAAGTAAGTTTGGATCTGCTTCTCCCTCATTTAATTCGTAGAATTTAATGACCTCAATATATTTTAAAAATAATAAGCAATTGATGCTTTCATTTTCATAAAACTTTTGAAACATCTCTAGAATATCATCTGGCCGATAAACTTTCTTTGAAATTGATGAATCAATCGCGTCTTCTGAAGTCCGAAGAGGATATCGGAAAAGGGTTCCTTTGAATTTAATGTTACAAGGAATTCTAAACGGAGCGAATTGATCCGGATAGTTCGACGCCTCTTCGACAAAATCAAATTGAACGCCGCCGTCGTAATACCATTCATGTGGATCCAGTATTACATAACTGTCATCAGTAATAAACGATGGAGAGTCGGTAATATGGTAAATTGAGTTAAAACTCAAACCCATAGCTAAAAGAGAAAATAATTATTATTCGCATCTATGATATAATATAGTAAAACATAAAAATATATTACCTCCTATCTTGTCGAATTGACCACGTTTATAGCTGTTGGCCAAATTAACTAAAGATATTAAGTCGTCTTCTTCGAAAATTGTGTCATTTCTTGACAACAAAGCTGGACCTTGATACCGATCCAACTTCAAATCGTTTCTTTCGGTCCCATTGTTATTAGGTTCAAATAATGTTTGCGTGGGATAACTATTACGATCGAGAATAAAGGTTTGCTGTCGACTTTTCGCATCATCGGAATTCTGAAGAATTTCACGAAGGATTTGCGACCCATCAGGATATTCTTCAAGAATCTTACTCAAACGATGAGTATATTTTTGACCAGGTTTAAAGCAAACTCCTCTGGTCCTTCTCGGCATTATATATGCGATACGATATAGAAATTACGAGGCTGTCTTATTTTGCAATTTTCTTTTGGCTAAATTTTCACTTCCTGAAAGGAATTCAAATAGTTTGATGCTATTAATCACACAAGTTCGCCTATTTATTTAAGATTGCATTTGGAATCTTGGAGCCATGGAACTTTGTCAATGAGAGATGCAATATACTGTGACACGATATTTTAATCGTAGAAATTGCAGTATACGATTGCGAACTCCGATGATAAAAGGAAATCCTTTTCCAATTTTGACATAATAATCATAATATAGTTATGTCGTGTACGTATTACCATAAATAATAATTATTTTATTACATGAATTAATTGCTATCTTATCTTGTTATGTGAATTGGTTGGTATCTTGTTACATGAATTCATTGCTATCCTGTTACGTGACAAAATATTACAAACAACATTATCTAAAACTCTAATCATTGTTTTGACATGTGTCCCTAATACACAAATTCATGGCATAGACTTAGTATGTGATTTCCATAATTAGCTACATTAATTTATATGGATGTAATTACGTATACGGTTGCACGATTTACCATTGTACGTACTTAGTCACCACGTCCGATTCTTATTATGATTTTCATGAGGAAGTCGAGATTTGCCTTCCGTGTCGACTGTACGTGTTGCTTTCTTT